CCCTGAACAATAGAAAGGCATCTGGCCAGAGGTCAGCGTGTTTAGTGGTGCAAAAGCAGTTGGGGTTACAGACACATATAGCGACAGTTCTGTAACTTAGCCTTGGAAGAATAACAGAACCTTTTGAATCTCGTAGGGAGAGGGTGTCATAAACCTGGATATTGCAGATGCCATGGGAGTGTTACAGGACTCTTTCTGCAAGACCATAATTGTCATTTTTATCAGGACAAGAGCAGAGGTCAGCCTTTAAGGAAAACAGATCCTGGTAGGAACAGGATGCCACAGGACTCTGTTTACAGGAATATTCTTGTTAACCTTATCTGTAACCTCACAGAGGTATGTACTTTCAGGGAGGGGAGTTCGGGGGAGAACTAGCTTGGTTTTCTTCTGAGTTCTGCTTTAGTCGTCTCCCACCTCCACTGTGTTTTTCTAGCTAGCCTTGAACTCCTGGGCTCAAGTAATCCTCCTACGTCTGTCTCCTAAGTAGCTGGGATTAAAGGTGTGCAACACCGTGTCTAGCCTTGTAGTGCACACTTAAAGCCAACTTAAAAAGTAGTCCATTACTTTCAAGTGGGAAGTCTAATCTACATGAAATTTAGAAATTCGTTATTTCATTTTTGTCTAGGTTCCCTGCTTTTTTGGGGGGTGGGGGGTTCATATATACTGATATTGCATATTGTATCCAGAAAAAGAATTTAGTTAGCCATCTAAAAGGTAGAACTCAAGGAATTCTTGCTCTTTAACCACATAAAATGTACATTGAAAAAAGACTGACTCTGTACCAGTACATTGGTGGTGGAACTTTGAGTGATTTTTAGATTTTTCCTTTTGCTTATATACTTTCTGATGTGTACTTAATACTGAACTACTTAAATCAAGAAATAAAAAGTTGAAAAGTATGGTTGAAGTTGTGCAATCTTGTACATTTCCGGATTTCTACACTCCATGTTACCTTTTTAAATTAGTAAACTCTTCGTTTTCTATGCACTGTGTCGATTTGGCTATTTCTTTTGGTCAGTTGAAACTGTTCAGTGGGCAAAGTTGAAAGTGATTTCATTTCTCTAAAAATAGGATCTAGTTTTAAACTTAGGGTTACACACACATGCACATGGACTATATAATAAAACTACTGATAAACAGCAAACGGCTAATAGTTTTTAACTAGGAGTTGGGTTGGGACGAGTGAGAAGTAACTACTGTCTTAACTTTCTTGGACTGTCTTAAGTCTGGGCTGTAGATTATGTGTAGAGCCTTGCTTCCAACTTGTGCTCATTCTTTAGGCTCTCTGTGCTCCGCGGGTGCTTACCTGAGTTCTGCTACCTTCTTCACTCTAATTGGCGGGTCTCTTGCCAAGAAGACTGTGTTGGCTAGCATGTCAGGTCAGCTGAATTGGCCTCCTCTTTAGTTTATGAGTAAAATATATGTGGAAATAAACGTATGTGTGTGTAAGTATGTGGAGGGGTTTTTTGTTGTTTTTTGGTATGTCGAAAGAGGCTTTAGGATTTCTTGCTGCTTCTCATGCCATTTTTATTTTTATTTTTATTTTATTTTTATGTCTGTTTTCAAAGATCTTTAAAGAAGAAAAAACATGAAAGATACTTGAGCAGTCAGCAATCATTGCTTCTAAAATGGTGGGTCTCCTCCCATTCTGTCTTGCAGCTAGAGGACTCTACATGTTCATTTCTTTTTTCTCTTCCTTCACATCTTTGACTTGGCTGAGATGTGAATCCTGTGCTTGAAGCCTGCGGTTTACTGGACTAAGCAGTTCAGGAGCCCAAAAAGTTGTTGTGCTCACTTCTGGCTTCAGGGTACCCATAGGTTTTTTTTTTTTTTTTTTTTAAAAGCATACCATGTACCTTCTTCATGTCTCAGCTTTTGGGGTAGAGCAGGTATATGATGTTCATTAGGTGGAGCGCTGATAAGGAATTCATGGACAGAATCACACAGTGAGAAAGTAATTTCTTCTTCAGTTTTATTTGAATCCTTTTGATTACATAAGCAGAAAGGTACTTTGGAATCAGTACAGTAACAGTTTTCAACATCTGCCAGTCTTTAAGCAGGGACAGCAGACTTGAAGCTCAGAAGATTTAACAGACAGCAGAACCTAGCTAGAATTTAATAACATTGTGTTTGTTTTTATGTTGCTTTTCTGATTCATGGCAAGTAATGTGGCTTTTCTCTTTTTAATAAATTCCTTTTTTCTTTCTTAAAGCACAAATAGTTCTAAGCACAAAGCAGTGACCCTGGGAAATACCCTTAGGGGAGTTGGGGAAGTGAGACAGAGGAGGTAGGGAAGGTGGTCAAGGCAGATACCACTGGAGCTTAATCCCTGTGGGGACCTCTGGGTGCCAGTGTAGCGCCTGTGTGTTGGCCACCTCACCTGACAACACAGGGAGCCACTGGTGCAAGCCCTGGAAATCTCAGTAGTCACTGGTTGATAGTAGCTGTGGGGGTGTTAATTCTCTAGAATTTCCAGCCTACCCTTCCTGCAGACAGAGCAAGCTCTGGCAACCAGACAGTACTGAGGCAAGCAGAGGTAGGTGTTACAGCTGGCCTTTGTGCACAGGGTAGATGAGTAGGGCACCAGCAGTCTCTGTAGCACTCCCAGATAAACAGCCCGCCTCCTCTCAGTAAACAACCTCAGCTTTTGGTGCTCATGCCATAAACTTTGGAGCCAGGTTTGAACTTCTTTCACATCTCTTCAGACCACCAGCAAATCTTGTTGGTTTTACCTTTAAAATGTGTTCAGTGCCGGGTGTAGTGGTACATGCCTGTAATCCTTGAACTTGCCTGTAATCCTAGCATTCACCTGTGATCTCAGCACTCAGGAGGCTGAGGCAGGAGGATCTCCAAGAGTTCAAGCCCAACCTGGTCTACAGAGTGAGTTCAAGGCCAGGCAGAACTACATAGGGAGACCCTGTCTCAAGTCCCCCGCAAGTATATATTCAGTATGTTAATATTTTCAGCATCTGACCTCTACTTGTCCTCAGGGCTGCCACCTGGCCCCACACCCTCCTTTCCGTCAACTCACGGCCTGCTAGATGAGTTTACTCTCACTACAGAAGCTGGAATGATCTTTATAAAGCCTAAGTCAGATCACATGACTTCTGCTCAAAACCCTCCAGAGCTTCCCGTTTTACTCAGTCTTTACAGTGGCTGATAAGGCCAGATGCCACCTGACTTTTTCTTACTGTGTCTGTGTGTTTGTACACATGTGTGCATGTTTGTGTACATTTGTTTTCTGGTTTACATCTTGTCAAAACACTCCTTTTCTCCCCATTCTCTTTATTGTGGGTTCTGTGATAATTTCTAAGTTAGGTTCACTTGTCTCAGTTTACATCTTTTTTTTTTTTTTTTTTTTTTTTTTTTTTTTTTTTTTTTTTTAGTGGCTTTTTGAGACAGGGTCTCGCTATACAGTTCAGGCTGGCCTTGAGCTCACTTTGTAGCCCAGGCTGGTCTCGAACTCACAGTGAACCTCCTGCCTCTGCCTCCCGAGTGCTCGGAATACAGGCGTGCACCACCACGCTCGGCTCAGTTTACATATCTTTATTTCTACAGTCTATTGATTTCTTTTTTAATGTTGCCATTCAGTAAATTTACTTATGGCATATAATTCTGTTGGTTTTTACAAATGCATGGAGTGGTGTATCCACTGCCATAGTTCTTAAGAAATTGTTTGCCATAGAAAATCTCCTCATGCTACCAGGTAATCTTTTTCTCCGTTTAGTCCTGAGAATAACTGATACATTTACCTCTCTACAGTTTTGCCTTTGTTTGTGTCATATAATTGGGACTCCTATAACATGGAGATTTTTGGGTTTGGCTTCTTTCACTTAGCAAAAAACCTTTTTTTTTCTTGTGTGGTGCTGGAGATTGTATCTAGGACCTTGCACATGCTAGGCAAGCACTGTTCATCCCTAGCTGGAACGAAATATATTTAAGATTATGTCACGTTCTTTTGTGAATCAGTGGATCATTTCTCAAGTGTCCTTTAAAATAAACATAAAGGTGAAATCGATTTGAAAAAAATATTGAATAAAAATAATACAGATGATACATTGAAAAAAAATCTTGAACCTGAATCATAAAGGTTAGAAGTCAGTAATGAGATAAAAAGGCTTTGCTTTAGGTGGTACCTCTGTGGTAATTAAGCATGTGCTCTGGGGAAGCGCTTAAAACCTTTCTGTTCTGTGGTAAAACAAAAACAACAAAACAGTGAAGTAACTGATCTGGTGGTGGTTAGCGCCTATCTCCCAGGGTACCAGTAGGTTCTTTAGATGACGACTCTTTTAACATTAGCATTTCATTGTTGGGAAGCAGCTGTCATCCCTCGATTTTAAATTTCTTAGGACCAGCTATTACAAACGCTTTATAAGACTTGTAGTGGAAGAATAGAGTGTCATTTGGCGTGAAGTGAACTTTCACTGTAAGGCTTCCTGACATTGACTCACTTTCTGTTAGGCTTGTCAAGTTCCAGGTAGTAAGAGTGTTAGTTAGAGCTGTAGTAGTGTCTGAGAGGTACTAGTGATACCATAAATGTTACCAAGTTTTCTGGTAACCTCTGTGACTGTAGCAGTTAGGCCTTAATCCCATAGACCTACCATTAGGTAGATTTTCCTAGCGATAGATTAATGGTTGGGGTTTACAGTTTCCTACAGCTTTCTTGTGTCTTACTGGTAGGCCATTTTGTCATATACTTGACAGTGTGTATTTGAGGTTCAGAGCATGTTTGAGAATGCTTCATGGCTGACAATCTTGCAGAAAAATGGGAAGGAAATGAAACAAATGATATTTGCTTGTTTTGTTATTTTTAAAGATGGACAGATTCATAATTCCTTTTAAGCTGACAATTAATGGCTATGTTAACATTCCTAACCAAGGCTTTTTTAAAATTGAAATTCAAAGAAGATAATGGAAAGAGGAATTTGAGAGTAGAAAATTGGTATAATTCATGTTTACATGTGATGCATAGTAATATTTATTTTACTTTTTACTTGTAGTAATGAATGTTATAACTATTGAAGATTATAAGAGCACATACTGGCCAAAATTGGATGGTGCCATAGATCAACTTTTAACCCAGAGTCCTGGTGACTATATCCCTATATCCTATGAACAGATATACAGGTAAGTCAATATTTAATTTGCCTGGGTTTAAATGGGTATTTTAAGCTCAGTACAACTTTAGTTACGATAACTTGCATGAATATGATACATAAAATACATAAGGTGAGATTTGATTTTTACTTTTTGATTCACAAAAGTGGTTTTCAGTTAAAATAGAATAAACCCTGCTGTTAGATTTCCACCTCAGCTTACCACCTTCACCTACTTACCACAGAAACCATTGAGGTCGGTGCAAAAAGGAAGAATGACTGAAGTATTTGGTATAAAAATAGGTTTTTTTTTAGTCTCACAGGGAGACCCTAGCTTAATTTATTGATGTTTGTTGACACTCAATTCTAACTCTCTTCGATTATTTTGTTTCCCAGCTCCTGGTAAATGGAAGCAACAAATTAGGAACTGGGGTGGGATGTGAGATCAGCACAGTGACAGGAAGAAGTGACAACTATGTTGTTCCACACAACTGATGTACAAAGAGGTTGTATTGCAAACATCTTTGTGAGTTAGAAATTTTCTCTCTACTGGTTAGCACTCTCTCTTCCTTATTTTGACATTTATTTATATAAAAAGAGAGCGAGAGAGAACCTGCTTTACTGGAGTTAACCATATTTGTAGCCTAGATTATCATTCAATGTTAGATTATCTAGTGATGATTAAGTTTGTACTACTCATTATTTGCAGTTAGTTGTATTATCTTTTACATGTAAACACTGATTGGGGGGAGGGTAAATTTTAATTAAAAGTTGTAATTGGTCCATTGTTTTAGATTTGAATTACTTGGTCAGTGGTTATGTAAAGAAAGTATGTTTTCACCTTAGAATGAATTAAGCGCGTCTTCATTAACTGTATTTTTTTGGCTTGTTTTTACAGTTGTGTGTATAAGTGTGTATGCCAGCAGCACTCGGAACAGATGTACAGTGATCTGATTAAAAAGATAACTAATCACTTAGAGAGAGTCTCAAAGGAGCTGCAGGTAAAGAACTGAATATATTGGCTTTTGCTGCTTTGGGCTTTTTTGGCTGGTTGGAAGTGGACTATTTAATGTATACATGGAATCTTGTTAATTTGGTAATGGTATAAATTTGTAAATATTTTCTAGGTGAATATTGAGGAAATCATCTAATCTTTAGATTTTTAGCTTAAAAACTGGACTTAGGAAAGTTTTTACACTGAATGCATTTCAGAGCTGAACTAACTGTATTTAAAACCTTATTTTTCCTTGTTTACTTCAACATTTGGTGACATTTATAGTATAAAATATATATGATCAATATATTTTAACTTTTTTTCTGGACCTTGTGTTATTATTGTGGAAGAGTGGTCTGCTTACTAATTTCTAGTGCTTGCCAGCGTGAACAGCTGAAGTCAACTATTGATAAACCACCGGTGGTAGATGAGCACCACCCCAGCTCTTAAAATCTGGGTGGGTTGCAGAAAATATGCTGTTTAAGGAAGCACTTGGCCTCCTGATCTCCACCTTCCCTTCACTGGTCTGCTTCAGGAAGCTTCCAGGGCCTGAAGTCAGGTACTATCTTTATGCTGGGGCCAGATCCACTTACGTTTTGGTGTAGAAGTAATGTGGTGTCTAGAAAAGTCCCTCAGGTATAGGTTACCAGGGTCTGTTCCAAAATTAGGAAGGACGTTTATGTTTGTAAAATAACCATAGTGTCTAGCAGCACGGTGGGGGAGGGTTTGTAGTGCATGTTGTTTCTCAGGTTGTGATCTTAGTCTTGCTTACGCCAAATAGTTGTTGCACTAAGTACTGTATCTTTTTCTAAAACATGATAGCCAAAGCTAAGTTTTATTGTAGTCATGTTGTTAGTATAAATTGTTTCCTTCATCTTTTTGCCAGTAAGTACAAGATTTTTATTGATTTAACATAAATTTAGTGCTTCAGCATTGTGTATAAATTGTAAATAAAATGCTATGCACTGTATGATCTATGCATTGTAACTTTGAGTGATTTGCTAATTCTTGACCTCACACTCTCCTGACTTCTGACTGAATTCAACTTATTGCCATATCCTATTTACTTTCTGCTTCTCTGTTGGAACTCTGTCCATTCTGTGTAATTGCCAGTCCCCTGGGTTTGGTCACTGTTGTCTGTCAAGTGTTTTATGAAAATGCTCATCTGGCTGCTCTGCCTTGTTTCACTGAGATACCTTAATTTATTTAGCTAGTGTTTGATAGGTTGCTTTAACTTTTGATTATTCCTAATAATTCTGCAGTGAGTTATCAGTCTTGTAAGTAATGTGATTGCTAAGTTCATCTTGTGGTTCATAAAAGTTGGTACCATGTTACATTATGGGTTACAGTCATGTGTCAGAGTATCTGCTTTCTTTCACACTAATACAGTACGAAATTTAATAATTTTTACCTTTATGTTAATATAGGAATTATTGTTAGTAAAGATAAAAACTAGGAGTTAGTGTCTTTTTTAATATTAGTATTTTAAAAATTATCAATAAATATGGAAGTAAAATAGGTAAAATGGGGGCTCAGTTTAGTTTAGAGTCAGTATCTGTAAAGTCTAACCATTACTAAACAATAGCCTGGAGTGGCTCAAAGTATGGAAGTGGAGGGCTCTGGTCTCAGCTCATCCGCTCTGCAGTCATGTGCCGCTGGATGAAATATGCTGACACCATCTTGTGAATTTTCTCAACATTAAAATGAAGTGGCTTTACTAAAAATATCTGTGGTTCCTTTGTTGTAAGATACGCCCGCCCCCAGTTTCCTGCGTGGCATGGGGGGGTACTTTGTTTTCTCAGTGTTAAAGTCATTTTTCTCCACCTGTTAAAGCCTTCTGGGAAGTCCTGCGCTCTCTTCAGGGCAGAAAAAGCAGAACAGAAGAGAAGCAGGAACAGAACCAGCAACAAAAGCAAAACAGCAGAACAGTTGGCATTCCTTTGTTTATGGCCCATAGCATCTTGGCTGTAACAACTCCATTAGGGCAATGCTTGTGTTATTGTTTTGCTTTCATAAGTCGTTTGTTGAGGGAGGGGCTCTGTCGTATCTTTTTATCCTTAGTGTCTAGCACAGCTGTAACTCAGCAAATGTTTGTTGAGTGAATGTTTAGCAACTAAATCTGACCTGTACCAATGGTAACAGCATAATTAACATTATATGATCACAAATCTTTGTTCTTTAGATGCTGAGGTGTTTTATTAATTTGTGTAATCTCTGTTTTATAGACATGTGGAGGCAGTTTTCGTGGGAGACAGAGTAAAGAGTATATGCCAGGCCTTATGAGCCAGAGACATATTTGCATGGAGCATTTTGTTTGCAGTTCTGATTTTGGACATGCATTTTTTTGAGCCACCGAAACAAGAATGTGCAAGGAGTTTTTGCATTTGGCAGATAATCAGAGATGTAGTATTATTGAGTTGATGAATTTAGTATTGGGAGTTGGACCTGCAGGGCATGAGCCTCTGTCAAGGGCATCTTAAATTAGCTGCTTGATTGTATAGTCTTACTTGTTAGAATGAGTTATTTATCCATATCCAACAGCATATCCAGTTGGAGACACTGAAGAGTTCTACATGATATAATGTTCCTTATTCTTGTTATTTTTAGTATTGATCTGAAAACTAGAGAATACTATTTTTAGAGACTTTGTTAAATCTAAACATTTTTATATGAGGGCATAATATAACACATGCCGCTTTAAATTTCTTTTTTTTCATTTTGGAAGCCATGACTTCTTTACCACCCTAGTAACTCTAGAAAGCTTTTTAATTGGTGTTGGTAAATTAATAAAACAACTTCACAGTTAGCTAAACCACTTAACATTATCTTTACTGTTATACTTCACTGGATATATATCTGTACTTTTAAATTTGCTGCTGGATTGTTTGAAACTCTGATTGGCTTGTCTTTTTTCCCCCAGTACTGGGGATTGAGCCCAGGGCCTGCATGCTAAGCTCCATTCCCAGCCTTTTTAATTGTTGTTTTTCTTTTTAAATTTTGAGACAGGGTCTTAAAAAGGCTTTGAGCTGCCCAGAGTGCGGGGATCATGGGTGTGTACCACCAGGCAAACCGTTCTCCTCCCACTCCCTCCCTGCTCTGTCTTTTAACTTCTGTAAATGTGATAATAAAATTCTATATTTATTTTCCTTTTTCCATGTCCCCAAAGCCTCTGAATTTTTAGTTCTGATCTTTTCTGTACAAACGAATGGAAATAGATGACTACAGAGAGAAAATTGGCTTCTCCGTTTAGTAAATTATGCTCTAATTAGTTTTGGAAAGTTCAGTGGAAACTCCTGCAAGTCCTATTTTTGATGAGGGCTCAGACTAGGACCTCCACCTGCCTGTTGGACGTGGGTTACTTCTTACAGATGCCTCAGCGTCTGCCTGAGTCTGAGTTCCTCTTCAGATACGTCAGTTTCTCTCACAGGCTTGAGATTTCGTATTCATTGTTGACCTTCTTTCTCTTTTCTTGTGGCCAGGTGACAGATTTGGTGGAATATTACGATGTCTCTTGCTTCTGTTGTCTTTCATTCCCATTGCTGTCATCTTTGGCTGATGTTAGTACTAGTCCAGTAATGTTTTGCCACTGTAGTCTTTTCTTTGGGGCTGAATAATCTAAAAACCCTAATTTATGGGTATACTTTCTTGTTAAAAATGTAAAAGACTTGTGTTTTTCAATTAATCATGCTTGATTTCTTGGCCATTATAAAAAATGGAGTTGATTGATAGGTTGCAGGGATTCTTGGTGGGAAATCTGATGTGTCTAGCACTTCCCTATCCAAATATGCAAGGTACTCTATTAAGCATAGTGGTCATATATAACTAATAAGACAAAATAATTTGTACCTGCTCCTAACCTCCTGCTAAGATAATTTAAAAATACTATTGCAGGAAAATAACAAAAAAGTAAAGAATAATAAGATGAAGATCTGGGAGAAGGAAGCTCATAGACATGATCCCAACAATTGAGCCACTTCTCTAGTAAGGTCGTTCGTTTATTCTGGAATAGGAAACCAATAGGCTGTAAAATAGGGTATAGTGACAGAGCTGGAGGCTAAGGAAGATAAACAGAAGTCATTTCCCAGGAGTAGTAAGACTAACAAGCTATAGACTGGCCTTTTACCTGAAACCTTTGCTTAAACTTAGATGGTCTGTGTTTGCTGGCAACTTGTGTCACTTACCAGAAGCAAAAGCAGATTTTCTCTGGAAAAAGGTAACATTATCCTAGGCATGTAATTTTTCCAGTAATTGTTTATAAACAGTGTCTGGCACTTAATCAGAAATAAATAGTCATAGTAGGAGACTTAGGAGATCATAAAGTCAGGAGAAACGGTGAACTACATTGTTAGATAAGCATTGAGAAAATTCATCACCAGTAGTCTCTCACTTTAGAGAAATGACGTATTCTTCAGATAGAAAGTATTCCTAGGTGAAAACTTGGGAGATAAGGTAGGAATAAAGTATAATAGAAAAGATAAATATGTGAGTATAGATCAATAATGGTAATTTTTTGAAGGGTATTAAAAAATACGTAGTCTGAAGTCATGACAGACAGTCCTATGTAGGTGGCAGGGCGTAAGTTGATTTAAAATGTTCTGAGGCCCTTGCATTATTCAAAAAGTACCAAAGTACCAGTTTATTTTAGATTGTGATAAGACAGGGAGAATGGGAATAGGAAAAGGAATGGGAAAAGGAAATGTTATGAACAAGATATTAGAGGGAGAAAATAGAATAATCTAAAAGTAAAGAAGTTCAGAAAAGATAGAACAAGATACGGAGAACAAATAGGGTACAGAGAAATAAAGAGGAGAACAAATCTCAACCTTAGTGTGTCTATTATTATGTGAAATGGTAAAGACTAAGTGGTGCATTGAAAAAAGAAACAATAACCAGACTGCATGGGATTCTGCAGCAGTACTAAATGTGCTGACAAGAGGTACAGCATGAAGATACATAGTAGGATGCAGAAAATTGAAAGTAAATAATAGAAAAAGTTATACAAGCTTT